CAGTTTCTTTTCTCACACTTCTCACTTGTGGAACTCTCTTGCTTTCCAGTCAACTTTGATCTTCAAAAGTTTAAATGCAATGCCAATAATCATCTTAATTCATGTTCTTTTATTGTTCTCTCCTCTTAATGTTTTTCTTTTTTTTCATATTCTTTCACACTTAGTAACTCCCTTGTGGCTTAGTGGCTTTATTGCTTTCCTTGAGCTGAAATGAAAAAGAAAAAAAAAAAAAGATTTATATCTGTATTAATGTTACTTGATTAGTGCTGCACAAGCTTTCATACTCAATTTGCTTAAATGATTTTTGTTTTAATCATTTCACCCCATGCAAGGCAATGAAGCCACTCAGACTTTGATAAATTTTAATCTTCAGAAATTGAAATGCAGTGTAAATTATCTTTTAATTGCTGTTCTTTTATTGTTCTCTTAATGTTTGTTTTTCTCATATTTTTTCATATTCAGTAACTCATGTCGTAGTGGCTTTATTGCCTTGCTTGTTGTGAAATGATTTTAAAAAGTAGTCCTGTTAGCATCTTGTTTTGCTTAAGATGAGAGTATTAGCTCCCACAGCCTTTGTTAGTGATAATTGTGTATTTTCAGACAATGCTTATAAGTAATGAAGAATTAATATTAACAAACAATATATGTATGATATTTTTACAATAATTTGATGTTTATTGATCATATTAACACAATTTAATCACGATCCATATATGTTAACTTTTTACCTGTTATTTCTCATTCACATTGAGAACAGAAAACCTTAACTTATGAAATTCATTTCCTCATGTATAATTGGAGAAATATAATAAGAAATAAAAATAAAGTAGATGATGATTTCTGTATTTCTCTCGCTTAGCTGATTGATGTTACCTTCAATATCCTGATTCCAGTTTTGTAGACGAATCCTCCAGAAATCACTCTGTCCACTCATCAGGGGGTATCAGCAATTGACTGCTTATACTTCTTGATTTTATTTATTTTTTTTTTTTAATATGCACTTTTCATTGGTGCAAGTTTTTTTTTTTTTTTTAATTTTTATAAAATGTGTGTGTGTTATATGCGTGTGTGTGTGTGTGTGTATTATATTTGTGTGTGTGTGTGTGTGTGTATTATGTGTGCGTGTATTATGTGTGATTGTGCGTGTGTGTGTGTGTACCTGTAAAGCACAACTTTTTTGCTTTTGTTTAGATTTGTTATTTTTTTTTTGTTTTTTTTAAAATTATTTTGGTTCAAAGTACAATTGGCTTAATGTCAATTACCCTTGATCTGTCCACCCACGCAAGTTTACAATAAAAATAGATATTTCCACTTCCGATTCTTTTCGATGCACAATGAACCAGTCTGAGCTTGTCCCGTAGCTGGAGGTGGATGTGGGGTGGTGGATACTTGAATTATTGATGATTTTTTTTTTTTTTTTTTAAATCTTAAGTAAGAAAAGTATTTTTGATTAGTTACAAAGCATTTTTATGTAAATGTGTTATGAACTGATGGAGAGCTTCTTTATGTGCCATGCCCCTTCGGAAAATAAGCGATCATGGCTCTCCACAATATCCTGTCTTTCATAGCTCTTCTTGTCATTTCTCATAAACCCTGTTCCACCATCCATTTACTCAAGCTCATTTTTCTTCTTTATGTGCCATGTTCCTTCTGGATGTAAACAATCATAGCTCTCCACAATTTCCTGTTCTTTGTATCTCTTATGAAATAAGTATTTATTTATAGCAAGCCTCTTGAGGTGACAGAATGCGTCTACAGCATGCAAAGAGAGAATTCTACAGCAACAATTTTCACCTCCAGCATGCTAAAGGTTAATAAATTTTGTCTTTTTATTATTTCTCCTGAATCTTGTTCTGCCATTCAAGCTCACTAAGTATGTTATGTGCTGTTTTCCTCTATCCCTCTTGCTTTCAATCTATTCTGCAATTATCTGATTTTCCAAGCCCTCTTTCTTCATTATGCTTCCGAGAAATTTCAACTCTCTCTTCCTGATTTTAAGTATAAGTTTCTTTTTTTTTCCATTTTCTCCAAAAATTTGTTGTTGCTCACATATTCAGTCCCTGATATCTTCAGCATCCTTCTGTAGAACCACATTTCTGTTGCTTCAAGTCTTTTCATCTTTGAGGAGATTGTCCAGCATTCACTGGTGTATAGGAGGAATGTTATCATGTAACAGTTTAGTACTCTTTTCTTTGTTTCTGGCAAAGTTTTTCTGTTTCTTAACACTCTACTTAGCTTTTGGAAAGCAACTTTGGCTTGCCCAATGTGTCTTCAGATATCGGTATCACAGTTCCTGTCCTCTGTTAAAATACATCTTAAATATTTAAATTTTAAAGGATGTCTTTGGTTGTAATCATTGAAATGTTTTATCCATTGTTCCAATATAGTCATTGTTTTCATTATCCTTATCACTTCTAACAAATTACATTGAATTTCCCACTGAAGAACACTAAAGACAAATTTCTCTTTGATATCCCATCAGTCTTTTGAATAATCATTGCTTTTTCTGTATATGTATTGTCCTTTATACTGTCTGGTTAAGAAGACTTGACAAAAGTATTTCCCTGGAGAAATCATGTCGGCTGGTCATGAGTGGTTAATAAATTGTAGCAGCTTGTGAAGGCATTGATATAAAATTTTATTTTTAACCATGAAACCTATATTAAGCCCCTTTTCCCCAAACACTGCAACTTGTAATAAAAGAAAACATAAAAACAATTAGGGTTGTCAAAAAAAAAAAATTCTATATTTGATGACATAGAAGATCCCCCTCCTAAAAAAAAAAAAAAAAAAAAATGCAGACTAAAATCTATCTGGCCACTATAGACTACAAGTATTTATACTTAGTCCATTGTTAACTAATTCAATTATTTCCCCTCTCAAAACATAATGGAGCAGCAACAGGCTTATCTCCCTTCATTCCAACTTGCATTTGACCAACGAACCAAATAAAGGGTGTAGCAGAAATACCTGCCACATATACTTGCCAGAAATGGGGCACCTTGATGTGGTGTAATGGTTAGGAAGCTTGTCTTGCTATATCCATTAAAACTGAGTAGTGAGTTCGATCCTCACTACATGCCTCATACTTTCGGCCTTGTGCCACATCTAAGCAATGCTTACAAAATCCTATACTTGCCAGAAATACCTCTCATATAGTGGTAAAACATTAGTGGTGATAGTGACTTCAACTCGCTAATGTCTTACCATTATGTGGGAAGTATTTTTGCTGCACCCTGTATCAGCTGGTTAAAATTTCTCTTTGTCACTTCAACTTCTGATGTGTGGCGTGTCTATGCCACTTCCACTTCTGCAGACTGCAATTAATTTCTACTGGTCTTTGTTGATCATCCATAATGCTGTAATATTTAATGTTAATAGAAAAAAATGTTTTCCATGTCATTGAATACAGTATGTAAACCGCCTTCAAATAAATGAGAATTAAAGAAAAAACAAAAACAAAAAAATGTTTTTTTTTTTTTATAAATGGTTCTTTGTCATTATAGTAATTCTATGAGAGTAACACTCTGTCATTGTTTTTGTTTGGTACCAATTGTTGAAAACAGAAAAGAAAAAAAAGCTAACATGGTAATTCAGTAATGTCTTTGAATTGGTTGTTAGAATTAGTTACACAATTATTTTTTTTTCATAAGCAACTTGTTTATAACCAACTGTACTCAAATTTAACTAAATTTTAAGTGACTTACACTTGGAAAAGATAAAAAAAAGACTTACTAAACTAAATACGTTATTTTATATGGCATTCAAAAATTTTATTAATGCTATTAGTTTGCTTTAATTAAAAAGTTTTTTTTTTTTTTATTTTAATTTTTATTTATTACACCCAAGCATAAAAAGTCTGAGTGGCTTTATTGCCTTGCATTGAGTGAGATGAATATATATATATATATATATATATATATATAGAAATATAGTCTTAAGGTATGCTATATTTATGGGATAAAGTGCTCAATATCAGAGACAGAGCATGTGTAAATATAAAAGTGAACATAGAAGTCAACACTTAGAGGTGACAGTCTGTTTCATGCTATATGGCCTGGCAATTGCATATAGCATGAAACATGTTGTCTTCTATGTTGACTTCTATATATATATATATATATATATATATATATATATATATATATATATATATATATATAAATTGCAAATTATGAAAGCTTGTGCAAAAAATCAAGTAACTTTAGTTCAGATCAAAATCTTAAGTTCTTTTTGAAGATCAAACTTGACTGGAAAACACGAGAAATTCTGCAAGCAAAAAGTGAGGGAGAAGAAACTGTTAGCATAGAACTTACGGTTACATTTAGTTATTTCATCTGTAAACTAATGAGACCTTGCTGCCAATCTAGTACTGCACTTAAATTTGAAAAGTTGAGGTACCAAAAAGATAAAACTAAGCAGAACAATTACCATGAAATTATTTATAGAAAAAGGCACAGGGAAGTGATGTTAGGGCAATGAGAAAATGATTGAAGCCAAGATGCCAGGTCAGGACTAATGACATTGCAGATTCTTCTTTGGATTTTAACAAGAAGCTTGAAATACAGATCAGATGTGGCAGCAATATTTAAAAGTTGCTTATTTAAAAAAAAAAAAAAAAAAAAAGAATAAAAAAAATACTTTCAAAGAACTATGATTTAAAATTTATTTCATAATTTGGAACATTATTTATTTTATGCTTTATGCCTGGAATATAAATCTATTGCTATCACCATTAAAATGTTTATAGTTTCTTGTCTGTCAATAGGAATTGCAAATGTTTGCTGCTTTATTTGGTGTGACAAAAAGAAATTAGCTTTTGAGTTATAAAACTAAAAATAGCAACATAAAGTAAAGGAAGCTGGGAGATCACAGTGAATTATTTCCCACAGAATTTAACCTTTTTATATTTGTTTTTTGTACAGATAACATTATAATAGTGTTAAAATACTGGTTTCCGGTGATGTTTGACTACAAAGTATTCAGTTCATTTAATGTTGATGGGAACCTTTAGCAATGGCACCTTCTTTAAAGTGCGCTATTCCAGTGTTCTTCCTTTCCTTTCTTTTTCCTTCCTTTTTCTTTCCTTTCCTTCCCTTTTTCTTTCCTTTCCTTCCCTTTTTCTTTCCTTTCCTTCCCTTTTTCTTTCCTTTCCTTCCCTTTTTCTTTCCTTTCCTTCCCTTTTTCTTTCCTTTCCTTCCCTTTTTCTTTCCTTCCCTTTTTCTTTCTTTCCCTTTTTCTTTCCTTCCCTTTTTCTTTCCTTCCCTTTTTCTTTCCTTCCCTTTTTCTTTCCTTCCTTTTTCTTTTCTTTCCTTTTTTCTTTTCTTTCCCTTTTCTTTTCTTTCCCTCTTTCTTTTCTTTCCCTCTTTCTTTTCTTTTTCTTTTCCTTTCTCTTTTCTTTCCCTTTCTTTCTTTTACTTTCCCTTTCTCTTTTACTTTCCCTTTCTCTTTTTCTTTCCCTTTCTCTTTTTCTTTCCCTTTCTCTTTTCTTTCCCTTTCTCTTTTCTTTTTCCCTTTCTCATTTCTTTCCCTTTTCTCTTTTTCTTTCCCTTTCTCTTTTCTTTCCTTTTTCTTTCCCTTTCTCTTTTTTTTCCTTTTTCTTTTCCCTTTCTCTCCTTTTCTTTCCTTTTCTTTTCTTTTTCTTTCTCTTTTTTTTTTTTTTTTTTTTCCTTTCTCTTTTTCTTTTCCCTTTCCCTTTTTCTTTTTCTTTTCCCTTTTTCTTTTTCTTTTCCCTTTTTTTTTCCCTTTTTCTTTCCCTTTTTCTTTCCCTTTTTCTTTCCCTTTTTCTTTTTCTTTTTCTTTTCCCTTTTTCTTTTTCTTTTCCTTCATCAATTCAAACCAAGCAAGGTGCTACTGAGAGTGGAAGAGAATAGACCTTAGATAGAACCAGAAACCCAATCCTAAACAGGAAACAAGGGATAAACCTTCTACTCCTGTTTAAAAGACTTGGGAGGAGCATAATCTGAATAATAAGTGAACCTAATTTTCTTAAGCAAAAGCCAGATGGGAGTAAAGTCTGAATTATAGTGGCAAGTCTGGCACAATATGCTTTTACCCCAATAAAATCTTTACAAGATGTGAAGAATTTATTTCCTCTATTATTGTGATAATGTGAGTTACACAGTACACACACTCTTGAGATATTCAAAATGTGTGCTGCTGCTAGTCAAAAAACTAGTCAATATTTGTAGATACAAATGCCTAAAACTTTAATATGTTAGTTTTATCCAAATAATTTTTGTACTAATTGAAAGACAAATGATTGGAGAAAACACTGATGTAAATGTTTTTCTTGATTACAGAGAATGGAATATTTTTATTTTTGAAATATTGTTTACATTTTGGATGTGCAGGTAATATACTGGTAAATGGCCCAGAATGAGAAATTGGCAAGTTCAAATTTCAGTCAGCTTCTTTACATTGACTTTTGTACATGAATCCATGCCTTTTACACCCCCACCCTGTTATTCCGTCCTGGGTATGATGATAAACTACATCCGTATCCTGGGTAAGACGGTAAACTACGTCCAACAGCATCGTGAAATTGCTGGTGTTCCCAGGTCCACCCTGATCTGGGGTGGTAGCATCTGTTCAGTCTCAGCTATGGGCAAATAGTTAACCCCCAAACTGGGGTCAAAACACAAAGTGTAAAAATAGGTTTTATTACCAGCAAGACATTATTGAAAAAAAGAAATAAAAAAAATTACCAGCTAGCCATCTTTGGAAAAAAAAAAAAAAAAAAAAAAAAATTTTACCAACAATAAAAATCTTGTCGGCATTAAATAACCCATTGAGGTTGATATGCGATAAAACAAACCAAACCAAACAAATCCCCCAGTTATTGATTAAACAATAAGTTAGATTGGTTTCTTCAGTCTTGGTTGGGCAACCAATGTAGGAGAAGAGTGCTGAATTCAAAACCAGTTGGGCATATGGTCTCGCAACTCCATCTTGTAAAACCAACTTACTATGGAAACCAAAGCATAAATAATTAAAATAAGTAAAATTATGTTCAAGTACTAAAATACAAAATATAATTAAAATGTGTTACTTTTAAAGATAGCTTAATTAGGTTATGCAAAATTTACATCTAGTAACAGTTTTGTTTAACACTTCACAGAATGAATTTATTACTAAATCTTCCCATATTTTGGTAACTCAAAAGTTTATTTGTATAACCTTTCTCCATTTTTCTTTCAACTTCAGGATTCCATCTTCCCAGAATTTTAGTGGTTTCTTGATAAATAACTCATTAGGGTAGTTTTTTTTTTATGTCATCCAAAGAATTAAAATTTTTACCATCATTTTGCGATGACCTGAATAAATGAAAATCAGAATGAACAATGTCCGGTGAATATGGCATGTGGGGGTAACACATCCCAGCCAAGGTGCAACAATCTTTGCTGGCCTGCCAAAAAAACATGAAGTCTGGCATTATCTTGATGAGAAATAACATTTTTCTTGTTCACCAATTCTGGGCATTTTTCTTGAATTTCTGCCTTTAATTTGTTCCGTTGTGAGCAGTACTTTTCAGAATCAATTGACTGGTACAGGATTCTTTTCTAATCCCACCAGATGCACAGCATGACTTTTTAGGATGAAGAACTCATTTTGAGGTGGCTGAAGTTGGCTCATGTCTCTTACTCCAGGATCTTTTTTGCTGAACATTGTTGTAAACAATGCATTTCTCATCACCTGTCACAATTTGCTTCAAAAAGGGTACATTTTCATTGCGTTTATACAGCAAATCACAAATGAAATGTGATCCAAAAGATTCTTTTCACTCGGATCATGTGGTACCCAAACATTGTAGTGATTTGAGTACCCAAGCTTCACTAAGTGCTCGTGGATGGTGGATTTTGATAAATTTATTGTTTCTATCAATAACTGCATTGTGTAATGTGGGTCATTTTCAAACACTGTCTTGATTTGTTTGTTATCTGTAGTGGGGGTCTGCATGAGCCGTCTTCATCAATAAGGCTACAATCGTCAACTCTAAACTTAGTGAGTTCTGTCAGTTAATGCACCTTCACTATACACAGCACATATCTTTCTTGTTGCTTGCAAGGCATTTTTGCTTTTACAGTGAAAAAAAAACAAAAAATGCATCAAGTGTTGAAAATGCACCTTATAATCTTCCATTTTCATAAGCTTGCAAAATTGACATGAATTAATTTTAAACTTTCTTTCTCAAGAGATAGTTTGAAGTGTGCCCTAATTGGAAATGTAAGCATATTATATCTGTTGATAAATTTCACACATCCTAATATGTTGGAATGTGAACAACTAAAAATTTGCATGAACTTTCTGGACAACCAAATAGTCTGAAGAATTTTCTGCTAGTGAATTAAAGTTAATCTGTCACTTTTATTTATTGGAACAATTTGAGCAATATTCTTGGAGTTTTCTCTCCCCCTTCTCTCTAATATATATATATACATACACACACACACACACACACACACACACACACACTTGCTGTTGTAACTTCAAGTGTTTCAATGTGGTGCCTATAAAAATTTGTGATTTGGTGAGTCAAATTTTTGGCAAAAGATCGTCCTCACCCATATCACATGGGTCTTCATGAGAATAATAGAAGTTCTGTTGTCTTTTTCTTCTTTTTTTTTTTTTTTTTTTTTTTTTGGGGGGGTCTGACATTCTGTTGTGTGTGTGTGTATATATATGTGTATATATATATATATATATATATATATGGTTTGTTGAACAAGACTGACAAGGTACTGTTCTTTAATTGTTTTATTATGTTTTTCTTGTAAACCGCTTGGAACCATCAAACTTTTGGACAATTTTTACACTTAGTAAGTCGCAAGAAGAGATGTCTACATATAAAAAGGAAAATATAATAAAAATAAACAAACCTAAGCTAAAGTACCGTGTCAGTTTTGTTCAGCAAATCTTTGTTTTTTTTTCTCTCTCTCTCTCTCTCCTACTATTTTTGAGATTACCATTTATTAAATATTTCACTCTGACAAAGAAGTTCTTGAGTATTCTTTGAAGGGTAGCATGTTCTTAGGGGAAATTTTGTTCGTTATTAATAATGAAATAAGCCAGTATTTTGATGGTTGAATTTTTAACCCCACTGGTTCATCCTGGTCAACGGTATCCAATAATGTCACCCTATGTCCCTCATTGGTCTTTCAGACCATCGTGGTTACCATCTAGCTAACTCCTCACTCATTAAGATGTGGCTTGTTTGTCGCTAGTATTGTGATGGTGGGCATGGTCCCACTCGACTTAGCTGGTGTTTCTGTTCATGACCATTCACGTCTCTACCATGTTGTGTTTTTTGATTGCAGAGGATGAGAAGGTCACTGATGAAACAAACTAAATTTAAAGATCACTCAGAATGAAAAAGCCAGGTAAAAGAAACATTTGGTTTGAATCAACCCAGAAGTGTCCAGAGAAAGATAGGGGCTAGCGAATGTTTGTTCATTATAATTTCTGTGACATTCATCCAGAAAAATTTTATATCCAAACATTAATGTGCATTCCTTTGAATACAAATGATAAAGAAAAATTAATTACTATTTTGGAGCAACCATGGAAAAAAAAGGCTGTGTGGTCTTGTTGATTATTTTTATCAATAAAGAGATTGGGAATAATTTTCTTTCCTTCTGTTTCCCACTCATGAAAATTCTTCAGTGGTCTGGTCAATCAAGAAATTGCAGCATGGGACAAGCAGATAAAGAAAGATTAATGACTGAAAATCCCTTTTGTTTTTGCTTACGCCATCTGGAAGTTGAATTTATCACAAAGACAATGTACCAGGCCTTGGAGCAGGCTGAGGTTAGATGCTGAGAAAGTAGGAGAATGAAGAGAGATCAGCACTGCCTACATAGAGCGATGATGTGAGAGCCGGAGTTAAGGAGTGGCCCGATTTCTCTGACAAGTCTCAAAAGGTGGCTGGACAACCCCAAATTTGGAAAACCACTTGAGTAAATATATTTTGAGAATACGGAATTTTAAAAAAGGTTGATACTAAGGGTGGAAAGGTGACAGAAATAAGACCCTGGTCAAACCCACCCTGCTGGACGCAGGACTCTATATAAGCTGGAGATTTGGGTCACTTGTAGAGTACCCACATTACTGCTACTTGACCTCCTGACCAAGACCTTGTGCTGGCCCTGAAAACCAGAACTTAGACATCTAAGTTACTATTAAAAAAAAGGACAAGTTGCAGACTCCAAGGGGGATCCCAGTGTCATTTGATTACAATAACAAGTGGGAAGGGTTAAAACTGTTATATACAATAAATCATATATAAACCAAATTGTAGTTAGATTTTTAACCCAAGTTAATTCTTTACTCGAAAGGATTCATTTTTTTTGTGTAGCTCCCAATTGTCCAGAGTCATATATTACCTTTCACTTGATAATTAATTTTAGTATTTTTTCTATTTAATCTGAGAACGTTTTTGAAGAGGAAGAAATGAGCAGGAAAATTGCCATTACATTGAATTTAAATAAGAAAATCTATGTTGGTTGGTTGATTTTTATGAGATGTCAACCCTTGTTGGGTTATTTGGTAGGGGGCACCCAGTGAGGATTGAACTTAGAATAGCAATGATCAATCAGACTAGCCTTGCTAACTGTAACCCTATGCTGAAGCACCTACAAAATCTGGTTCACAAAACCAAATTGTGATTGTGTTAAACTTCATTGTTTCTTTAAGATGATTAGTCAGAAAGTAATATACCTTTTTACTGTTGGGCATGTTTTATTTTAATTTGTTCCGTTGGCTTTGAGTTTATTGTCGAACTACACACCCACTCTTAAGATCTGTATGAAAATAAAAATTCTTGTGTGTGTGTTTTTTTTTTTTTTCAATCATCAACAGTGTTTACTCCTTAGTA